GATGGGGATGTAGGCTGTTCCCTTTGAGTCTCGAGGGGCATATTCCCAGCTGGGGTGGTGGGATAGTGGGGATGGGGATGGGGAACGGTTAAACAAGACTGAGGTCAGGTGGCGCCCGGAGTGCGAGGCGGGGATATGTCCATATCCAACGCCAGTGTCCAACGCCTGTGGAGCCAGGACGACGACGACGACGACGGCGACGACGACGACGACGACGACGACGAGGACGACGAGGACGACGACGACGACGACGACGACGAGGACGACGACGACGAGGACGACGACGACGACGACGAGGACGACGACGACAAGGACGACGACGACGACAAGGATGACGACGACGACGACGACGACGAGGACGAGGACGAGGACGAGGACAAGGACGACGACGACGACGACGAGGACGACGACGACGACGACGACGTCGACGACGGCGAGGACGAGGACGAGGACGAGGACGAGGACGAGGGACGACGACCACGAGAGACGACGACGACGACGAGGGACGACGACGAGGGACGACGACGAGGGGCGACGACGACCACGAGGACGACGACCACGACAGACACCGACGACGACGATGACGAGGGACGACGACGAGGGACGACGACGAGGGACGACGACGACGACGAGGACGACGAAGACGACGACGACGAGGGACGACGACGAGGGACGACGACGAGCACGACGATGACGACGACGACGTTGACGACGACGACGACTACGAGGGACGACGACGAGGGACGACGACGCGAGGTCGGAGGACGACTGTGGGCGCGAGACGAGGACGAGAACGAGGACGAGGAATTTTTGGGGACGACGACTGACCGACGACGACGACGTCGACGACGACGACGGGAGGAGGGGGGCGAGGACGAGGACGAGGAAGATGGACGACGAGGAGGAGGACGACGACGCGAACGACGGCGAGGACGAGACGACGACCGACGGCGACGACGTAGAGGGAGGATGACGACGAACGAGGTCAACGACGACGTCGACCGCGAGGACGAGGACCGAGGACGAGTGAGACCGGGAAGGGGGGCCGGCGAGGACGGAGGAACGAGGACGACGAGACGGCGTCGAGGAGCGAGGACGACGACGGACGACGGAGAGGCCGGACGACGACGACGAGAGGAGGACGACGACTGACGACCACGGCGAGGTCGAGACGACGGCGACGACGGACGACGAGGTGTGGACGAGACGACGACGGGCGAGGACTTGAGGACTGAGACCCAGGACGAGGACGAGGACGAGGACGAGGACGAGGACGAGGACGAGGACGAGGACGAGGACGAGGACGAGGACGAGGACGACGACGACGACGACGACGACGACGACGACGACGACGACAACGACGACGACGACGACGACGGAGGGTGCGGCGGCGGCGGCGGCGTCGCCACGGGCTCCCGCGCGCCGAGGCGAGAATGCCAAGGCGCCCCAGGCCCCCTCGCTATTTTCGCCCAGGGCTGCCAAAAAACGATTCGGGACGAGAGGCCGGTCTCTGGCGATGGGTCCAGACCTCCGATGGCCATCTTGCCAGGCGGCGCGAACCGGCGCTAACCGACGCGAGAAGCGGCGCTGAATCGACGCCACATCGGCGCCAGATGGGCGCCAGATCGGCGCCAGATGGCCGCAAGATCGGCGATGAATTGGCGCTGAAGAAGCGCCGGATGGGAGCTAGATCGACGCCAGATTGGCGCTAGATCGGCGCCAAGTCGGCGCCAAATCGGCGCCAAGTCGGCATTCATGGCGGTGGCAACTCCTGCTCTTCCTCCCCGTCCTCCTCCTTCTCCTCCTCCTCTTCCTCCTCCTCCTCCTCCTCCTCCCCCTCTTCCTCCTCCACCTCGTCCTCCTCTTCCTCATCCTCCTCCTCCTCCTCCTCCTCCTCTTCCTCCTCCTATTCCTTCTGTTCCTTTTCCTTCTCCTCCTCCTCCTCCTCCTCGTCCTCCTCCTCCGCTTCCTCGTCCTCGTCCTCGTCCGCGTCCTCGTCCGCGTCCTCGTCCTCCTCCTCCTCCTCTTCCTCCTCCTCCTTCCTGCTCATCCCCCCCCTCCTCCTCCTCCTCCTCCTCCTCGTCCTCCTCTTCCTCCTCATCATCCGCGACACGGTGGTTCCCCGAGATCTCCGAGCCCTGGCGCGCGTGACTAAAAAAAAAACTCCACGCCCCGCGAGGCCTCTTCATCAGCCCCAGGGGGCATCATTTGTTAATCACAAGCTGACAGTAGTTAATGGCGGGGGTCCTACGTGGCAGTTTTACCAACTAAGGGGAGGGGAGGGGGCGGGGAGGGGGAGGGGGAAAGGGAAGGAGAAGGGAAAGAGGACGAGGGCGCGGATGCAGCGCGTGCACGGGACCGCGGCACGCCTTCGGGAGCACGAAGCCCTGTGGCGTGATCTGGTACCTCGGTGCAGGCCCCCGGGCTGATCCCATCGGCTTGATCTGGCCTGATCCCTTCAGCCACCACGCAGATCTCGAGAACTGGGGTCGACCCAAACGTTAATTTCTGTTTTCGTTATGTTTTGGTTGTCCCTCGTTTTGTCTTCAATCCACCGTTGCTGCAAAACGGAGTCGAAACGAAAACGGCCCACGAAATCCCCAAAGCACCGTTTAGGTCGACCCCTGAATCTCGAGAGCCGATCCAAAATAGTGAGGATGGCTCTGGTAGCGGAGGTGCCCAGGCCGCGCAGTTGCCGAGTCCACCGTGCTCGCGCCACTGGCCGTGTTCCCCCAAACAGTGCCTGCACCTAGACAGGGATCGGCATAAACAGTCTTCTTCGTTGTCGTTTTGCGTTCGTCTTCCCTCGTTTTACCTTCCATCCGCCTTTGCTGCCGAATCCATTGCGCTCGCGCCGCTGGCTTTTCCCCCTACAAGAGCGCTTGCATCCAGGAACTCTTACTTTCACTTCCACTCTAAGGAGGATATGTGATGGCCTGATGTTCACGACGCTATAGGTTGCGCCCATGGTGTCCACCATTGCGCAAGCTGGCGGAGGAGTCTGCCTTCGAAGGCTGTGGCCACGGAGTCAATCACGGCTTTCATATGTTGGCCGGGTAATTTCGTGACCATCGGATATGCCCACGCGTGGGGCCATGGATGGCGCATGCTTTCAAGGGAATATGCCGTGGCCATAGGCTATGGTTGCGCCGACGGGATGTTGCATGGTTGCGAAGGCCAGCCCAGGAATCATTGGTGGCAATAGATTGCGCACATGTCATGTGCGCATGCTGGTCCAGATCATTGTCGTGGCTTGAAGACGATCCATGGGTTGCTCCATTGATTGCGCCAAGGGTTGCACCTGAAGTTGTGTTGTGTAATGCTCCCCGTGTTGATGCCTGCTCCGCTCTCTCAAGTCAAAAAATACAACGAGAGGCACATCGCGCAGTATTTCACGAAAGGCGCGAAGTATAGATCCCTGGAGTCTACACCAGAAGGCTTATTAAAGAACCTCCCGACTAGGACCCAAAACTGAGGCGAAAGCAGGATGAAAGATACGTAAGTTGTGATCGAGATAAATTGAGAAACCCCGAACCTGGCGGATTGTGAAAGATGCCTTGAAGGCCACGACCGTCTTAGAGAGCGCTCTGACACGCTCTGAGAGCGTTCCGGAATGCTCTTCAACGATTCACCGTCTTCATTCTACAGTCAACCCGATTAAGAAGGACACAGGATAAAGATGCAAAGGCCTTGAAAGGCCATGTCGACACTTTGCGAGCGGGGCGCGGCCAACGAAAGCGGCCAATGATGGGCCAACGGGGAAGGATGCAAGGGTAACCTTATAACATTGTTCATCCTTACTATGCGGGTTGACTGTAGGCCTGCCTGGAATCAAATCTCGTGGTGATGATACCACAGCACCCGAGCCGGACCACGCACCGCAGGATGGCGAACGATCGCAGATATTGGTCGGACCTGGTCGGACGTCAAATGCCTGGCTGGGATGGGCACGTTCGCCCGTGCTTCCGCTGCATGCGGGATATGTTCTTCCAGATGACGTCCTGGCGACACCCGTTCCAATTCTCCGTCACCTTCATATCTCCTTTCTCCCCACACCTTCGCCTTCCTCCTTCTCCTCCTCCTCCTCGTCCTTCTCCTCCTGCTTCTGTTTCAACTCCTCCTTCCACCTTGCCAGACATCCTTTTCCACGAACTCCTCCTCCTTTCTGCCGTCCTCCTTCTCCTGCTCCTCCTGCTCCCCCTCTTCAACCCTCCCCATTACTCCGCTCGATCAGTCCTCCCTCCTTCCTCGTCCTTCGCCCGACCTCCCTGCTTATTCTCCACCTCCGTCGTCGTCATCATCATCATCAGCAGCATCATCATCATCATCATCGTCATCATCATCATCACCATCATCATAATATTCTATCATATTCACCAGATACATCGTCATGATAATTGTCACTATCACCATGTCCGTCCCCATCATTAACAACAGATTCGCCATCCCTATCAAAACCATCATCGTCAGTCTGAGCACCACCGCCACAATCATCACCATTTTCGTCCTATCAATCATGAACATCATCTTCATCATGTTCATCATATTCATCATCATCGCTTCCATCCCCATCAGCATCAACGTCATTACCAGCACCGTCATCATCGTAATCATCATCACCATCATTATCATCTGAATCGTCATCATGATCATCATGATCATCATGATCATCATCAGCATCATCACCATCAGCAGCATCAGCATCATGACCATCGCCATCATCATCATCAGCATCATCATCACCATCATCATCAGCAGCATCCTCATCATCACCACCAACACCCTCACCCTCATCATCATCTTCATCATCACCAGCAGCAGCATCATCATCGTCATCATGCTGTCAGCATCATCATCAGCATCATCAGAAGCATCCTCATCATCATCAGCATCATTATCATCATCAGCAGCATCCTCATAATCATCAGCAGCAGCAGCGGCATCATCACCATCATCACCATCATCATCATCATCATCATCATCATCATCATCATCACCACCGTCATCATCATCCTCCTCATATCAGCAGCAGCTTCAACAGCATCAACAGCATCAATACCACCATCATCATCACCATCATCTGAATCGTCGTCGTCATCACAAGAATCAGCATCATCATCATCATCAGCATCAGCATCATCAGCATCATCAGCATCATCAGAATCATCATCATCAGAATCATCAGCATCATCATCAGCATCACCATCACCATCACCATCACCATCATCATCATCACCATCACCATCACCATCACCATCACCATCACCATCAGCATCAGCATCAGCATCAGCATCAGCATCAGCAGCATCAGTATCAGCATCAGCATCAGCATCATCATCAGCATCATCATCATCATCATCATCATCATCATCATCATCATCATCCTCATCATCATCATCATAATCGTCTCGCGTTTCCCTGGCATGGCCCTAAGGGGCGCTGGAGGCGCCGATGTATTGGGGAAAGCGCATGGCGGCGGAGCCGAAATCAGCTGCATGCAGCAGACTTCGTCCCCCCCCTTTCCCAGCCCCCACCGAGAAATCCTCGTCTGGCTATCGGGACATATCTCGGGCCTCCGGCGACCGATGGGGATGATCCGAGCAACACCAGAACGCTCTCGGCGAGGCGCAGCCGCTGGAGAGCATCCCGAGAACCGCCGAGAGCCAACAGAAACATCCAAAAACATCGACCCTGTGATGCGATGACAGCGGCGTCAAAACGCACGAGTTGCTGACACCTCTTTTTCGGCTCGCCACCTGAAAACTACTCAAATCGGCGCGCAGCGCAGACCACGGTGGCTACGCGCGGGCCTGGGGGGTGGTGAAAGCCCAGAGCCAAATACTGCAACCGGCATGTGGTAAAAAAGGCAAGTAAGCAAGGACCACCGTCCGTCCAAACCCAACCGAACTCCAATCAATACAGTGCTACGTGGCTCGTGCCTCTGGACCAACTGACCAACGTCTCCTCCTCTCTAGGCGGCGAGCCCGGGGGGAAGTGAGAAGGGGACTTCCCCGAAGACGCAGAAAACCTCTCAGAAGGCCCGAGGGCTTCGGAGAAGCCCCGCCGCCTTCTGAGAAGGCCTTCTCCTTCTCACTTCCCCCCTCGGCGCGCCGCGGAGTTTGGTTTTCGGGTCATAACTCGGGTCTCCAGCGGCCGTTCGGAACGATCCAGACACACCTGAACGCTCTCGGCGAGGCGCAGCTGCTGGAACGCTTCCCGAGGCTGGAAAGCCGCCGAGCACCGACGAAAACGTCCCGAAACTCCAGACCTCGAATCCGAAACCTTCTCACCTCACCCCCCCCCCCGCCTCGCTCGCCGCCGATCTGGGCAAACTGACCAGCGTCTGCCCCATCTCGCCCGACCCGAGAGAGCGTCGGGGGGAACGAAAGGGCAGGCTAGCAAAGGGTAGGGTAGAGAATCGGCTCACGTCGCTGGTTTTCCTGGTGCCTCCTGGCGCCGGGAGGCGCCCATGTGTCGAAGAATGGGCCCGGCGGCGGGGCCAAAACCAGCTGCATGCAGCACATTTTGTACCCCCCTTTTCCCTCGGGGCTCTATCTACTGAACCGGGTTCAACCAAGCCTGGATCCTGCACCCAAACCAAGGTCAGGGCACCCCTGGCTCTACAGGATCCTGCAAGGTCCGGCGCTCTGACTGGCCCCCGTTTGCATAGACCCCCGTCTCTGGAGCCCCGATGATCCCTATCCCCCCCAGAGCAGCAGGAGGAGGAGGTGGAGGAAGAGAAGGATATCCCCTCCTCCTCCAAATCCTCCTCCTCCTCCTCCTCCTCCTTCTCCTCCTCCTCCTCCTCCTTCTCCTCCTCCTCCTCCTCCCTGTCCACCTCGTCTTGCTCCCCTCTTGCCCAGCCCGAGAGGGGGGGGGCGCAAGGGGCCCATCCCGGGCCGAAAGGGGGGTTGCAGGCCCGCGGCGGGCCCTGAGGGCGCGGGGGGCCGGCAGCGGGCCGCCGCTGGCGGTCTGGAAGCCTGTTTTTCTTTAGAGCCAGGCGAGTTTACTTGCATGGCGCTCTCGCCCCCCCCCCCTCACACATTCGGTGTCGATTCGTTGATTTTTGGGGCCGCAGAAGCCCCCCCGCCGAAGCTTGGGGCGTCGCCGCGCCATTCTACTTCATGCTACGCGTTGATCTTCGACACATGCTATGCCATGTAACGCTATGTCATGCTACGACATCCGATTGTGCGAATCGAGAGGAGATCTACGCCATGGTAAGGGATGAGAGGGAGGGGTAGGACGCCAGATATGGCGCAAGCGCACCTCCCTTGCCCCCCCCTCCTCCCTCGCCCCTCTTCCATCGAATACGAGCGTGCAGGTGCCTCGCGTCTTGCGTGATTTCCGCACGTCAAGTTGTGTTGGGCCTGCTTCAGGCTCAGGCACCCCCCCTTGGTCCATGCAAGTAAACTTGCCCGAATCTTAAATTATCCCGGCAAAGCAACCTAACAGCGATGTGTAGGAGCATATCTGGAAGCATTCCCCTTAAGATTCAGATGAGAATCCAGTTGTAGAATTCTGCTGTTCTCGCAGTCGTAGTCGCATTCGCGATGACAGTCGCAGTGGCAACGGCAGTCGCAGTCACAGCCTCAGCCTCAGCCTGCCTCAGCCTCAGCCTCAGCCTGCCTCAGCCTCAGCCTGCCTCAGCCTCAGCCTCAGCCTGCTTCAGCCTCAGCATCAGTCTGCCTTCAGCCTCGGCCTCAGCTTCAGTCTGCCGTCGGCCTCGGCTTCAGCCTCAGCCTCAGCTTGCCTCAGCATCAGCCTGCCTCAGCCTCAGCCTCAGCCTGCCTCTGCCTGAGCCTCAGCCTGCTTCAGCCTCAGCTTCAGTCTGCCGTCGGCCTGGGCCTCAGCCTCAGCCTGCCTCAGCATCAGTCTGCCTTCAGCCTCAGCCTCAGCCTCAGCCTGCCTCAGCCTCAGCCTCAGCCTCAGCCTCAGCCTCAGCCTCCTCAGCCTCAGCCTCAGCCTGCTTCAGCCTCAGCCTCAGTCTGCCTTCAGCCTCGGCCTCAGCCTGCCTGCCTCAGCCTCAGCCTGCATCAGCCTCAGCCTGCCTCAGCCTGCCTCAGCCAGCCTGCCTCAGCCTCAGCCTCAGCCTCAGCCTGCCTCAGCCTCAGCCTCAGCCTGCAGCCTCAGCCTCAGCTCCTCAGCCTGCCTCAGCTCAGCTCTGACTATCAGCCGCGGCATCAGTCTGCCTTCAGCCTCGGCCTCAGCCTAGCCTGCCTCAGCCTCAGCCTGAGCCTCAGCCAGCCTCAGCCTCAGCCTGCCTCAGCTGCTCAGCCTCAGCCTCAGCCTGCCTGCCTCAGCCTCAGCCTGCTGCCTTCAGCCTCGGCCTCAGCCTCAGCCTGCCTCAGCCTCAGCCTGCATCAGCCTCAGCCTCAGCCTCAGCCTGCCAGCCTCAGCCTCAGCCTGCCTCAGCCTCAGCCTCAGCCTGCTTCAGCCTCAGCCTCAATCTGCCTTCAGCCTCGGCCTCAGCCTCAGCCTGCCTCAGCCTCAGCCTCCATCAGCCTCAGCCTCAGCCTCAGCATCAGCCTGCCTCAGCCTCAGCCTCAGCCTGCCTCAGCCTCAGCCTCAGCCTGCTTCAGCCTCAGCCCAGTCTGCCTTCAGCCTCGGCCTCAGCCTCAGCCTGCCTCAGCCTCAGCCTGCATCAGCCTCAGCCTCAGCCTCAGCCTGCCTCAGCATCAGCCTGCCTCAGCCTCAGCTCAGCCTGCCTCAGCCTCAGCCTCAGCCTCAGCCTGCTTCAGCCTCAGCCTCAGTCTGCCTTCAGCCTCGGCCTCAGCCTCAGCCTGCCTCAGCCTCAGCCTGCATCAGCCTCAGCCTCAGCCTCAGCCTGCCTCAGCATCAGCCTGCCTCAGCCTCAGCCTCAGCCTGCCTCAGCCTCAGCCTCAGCCTGATTCAGCCTCAGCCTCAGTCTGCCTTCAGCCTCGGCCTCAGCCTCAGGCTGCCTCAGCCTCAGCCTGCCTCAGCCTCAGCATCAGCCTGCCTCAGCATTCAAAATGCGGCCCGGGAATGGAGTTCTGGGAACTCGAACAACACGAAGTGGCCTACAATTGGCTCCGGGCATTCAAAATGTGGCCCGGGAATGGAGTTCTGGGAACTTCAAGACCACGAAGTGGCCTACAGTTGGCTCCGGGCATTCAAAATGTGGCCCGGGAATGGAGTTCCGGGAACTTCCAAGACCACGAAGTGGCCTACAGTTGGCTCCGGGCATTCAAAATGTGGCCCGGGAATGGAGTTCTGGGAAGTCGAAGAGCACGAAGTGGCCTACAGTTGGCTCCGGGCATTCAAAATGTGGCCCGGGAATGGAGTTCTGGGAAGTCGAAGAGCACGAAGTGACCTACAGTTGGCTCCAGGCATTCAGAATGTGGCCCGGGAATGGAGTTCTGGGAGGTCGAAGAGCACGAAGTGTGTGACTGTTTGCGAAAAACGCATTCGGACACGAGTTCGGACACAGCTCCCCGGGTCCCGCCCCGACCCCCCTGTGGAGTCTGCTCTCTTTTGACACCACTAGAAACCTATCAGCAAAAGCTGTTAGGTAAAAACAGGCTCCTGGGATGGACGCCGCAGGAGCCCAGACGCTACGACGATGCGATTTTCCTGAGACTCGGCGGTCGACCACTGCGCAGCATATACGACGAACCCAAAGATCCAACGCATGGAAAAAAAAACAGGACTGAGGTGTTTCGCCTTTTTCGGCCTGTGCAGGCCCTCGCCGGGCCCCGGGACTGTCAAACAATTACTCAGGATGAAGAACCACTGCACGGGACTCCGTATAAAAAAATCACGACATCGGATCTTTGGGAAGCCAGGACTGAGATCCAGCGGTTTTGGAGGACGTCTCGGGCGCCGCGGCCTTCTCAGAGCGTTCCGGGACGCTCTGAGAGCGTTCCAGAACGCTCTCGAACAGATTTCTCCTCGTCCTCGCCCCGTCCGACCATAGCCAGATGCTCCATACTCACTCCGACGATGTGGTTTTCCTGAAACTCGGCGGTCGACCACTACAGCTGAACCTAGGACAGAGGAACATCCTCCAAATACATGAGACCCTCCGCCAGCCAAATTGAAGGACATTCGAGGGTACCCTCCGCCAGGGATGCGCAAGAACATCCATCAAGCACGAAGAAGATTAGGGTACCCTCCCCGAACCGACCTCGATCTTGTGCCTCGGTCCGACCGTACGTAGCATAGCCATATGCTCCATGCTCACTCCTCTCCTCCTCCTCCCCTCTCCCTCCTCCATTCCTCATCCCTTGTCACTCCTTCCTCACTTCTCCTCTCGTCCTCCTCACTCCCCCCTGCGTCCTCCTCCCTCATCCGGGCGGAGCGCCAAGCGCGTATGTTTATGCCTTCTTCTATTTCGGTTGATTGCATTCAGGTCGGGAACTTTGGGATAGCGAGTCGGCACGGAGGCCCCAGCGACACGCTATGCCATGCGAGTGGATAGCGCGTCGCTCCGCTCCGCGGGGCGGGAGGCTCGGAAAGGCTCGGGACATTGACGCCTCGGGACCAGGAAGTGAAAAGCGTGTCCCTCCAAAGCGCGGTGGGTCAGAACCAGCGGAGCGACACCGTATCCAACAATTACCGACCGTCTGCGTCTGCCCTCTTCTGTTTCTACTGATTGACTTCACCTGACAGGGGCCCGCGGATGAACAAACAACACGACGTCGGATGTCCGGGATCGCAAGAGAGCGCGCTCCTTTCGCCCGAGGTTCCACCTCCGCGCGCAGCGCAACCCAAGATAAGACAGTGCACGGAAAGGAAGGGTAAGGCGAGAAGGCAGCGCAGCATCGTGGATGACAGGAACGCGAGGCCGGGGCGTGGACGAAAGGCGAGACGGGGCAGGAGAAGGAAAAGCGAGTGAGGCATCTTGGACACGCTGGCCTACGTCCCTGAAAGAGTCCGAGTGCACCGGGCTCTCGTGAGCGAGCGGAGCGATGGCCTCGGAGACTCCGTCACCGTGCCCCCTGGCACGCCGAGGCATGGAGGAGACCCAAGTGTTGCCTGGCAAAACTTCCTTTGCGAGTCTCGGGGGCGCGCAAACATGGATCAGCGATCCGTGGATCTGGCGCACGGTCGCCAAATCCATGAACCCGGAGAAGGGGCCCTCCCCAAGAGTGCGGCCGGTGCCGCCTCGTCTGGCGACCCGTCGCTAATCCACGCCCCCATGATCCATGCTTGCGATCGCCTGGGAATAGCCTCGATCCTCGCCCCCTCGACCCTCGATCCTCGATCCTCCTCCTCCTCCTCCTCCTCCTCCTCCTCCTCCTCCTCCTCCTCCTCCTCCTCCTCCTCCTCCTCCTCCTTCCCGCGTCGCCCCGCCCGCCCTACCCCAGGCCGAGACCTCCGGGTCAAAGCCGCCCTTCCGCAGGCCGAGACCTCCGGGTCAGAGCCGCCCCCTCCCCTCCCCTCCCGTCCCGTCCCTTCTCTCCAGGCCGAGACCTCCGGGTCAATGCCGCCCCGCTGCAGGCCGAGACCGCCAGGTCTAAGTTGCCGCTGCCCCGCGCTGCCCTTCCCCCCCCCCTTTGCAGGCCGTGACCTCCGGGTCAGAGCCGCCTCCCCCCCTCCCTCCCCCCCAGGCCGAGACCTCCGGGTCAGAGCCGCCCCGCGTCGCCCCTCCCGCCCTCCGCAAGGCCGAGACCTCCAGGTCAAAGCCGCCCTTCCGCAGGCCGAGACCTCCGGGTCAGAGCCGCCCCCTCGCCGCGCGCGCCCCCCGTCCCCCCCCCCTTGTCTCGGCTTTGCGCCGCTGCCGCTTGGCTCAGGGCTCCGCGTTGTGAAAGGGATCGCATTCGATTGAGCCAGTACCGCCGCGCGCTGATGGCGGCCAGCAAGAGCCGCAGCACGTCTATCCCACGCCGCTCTGGGCCGCGCGGGCCCGGGTCGCTAGCGGACCGCCGTGCGCGCCGTTCCCGCTCTCGTGGCCGCGCTCCGCGTTCCCCACCCCGTGCGGGAGGAAGTGTGTACCGTGCCAGCTCCATCTACAAGCGCGAGGACACCTCGCGCCTGAGCACACGGCCCAAGTCGGCCCCGCCAGCCCCCGTGGCACCGCGCGCGGTGGCGTCCCCCTTCGAGCCGCCGCCGGCAACGGGTTCGCCACCCGGCCACGGGGCCTTCCCTTGGGAACTCGGCGCTTGGCTCGCCAGGGCGGGTTTGGCGGTGACGCCCGCGACCATGCCCCCACCGCCGCCGCTAGGCGCGCCACCGCGCGCGACCCCGCCACTGGCTGCCAGTCCGTCGGCGGCGCCGGCGGCAGCGTTCTCCCAGGCGCAGCTCCCGCAGGATGCCGCGGCGCCAACGCTCAACCCGACGAAGGTCATGGGGGCCCCCGCGTGGGTCCCGCCGCAACCGCGCACGCAGCCACAGCATGCGCCTGGTACCCCGCCGGGGGCTCACCAGCCGCGCGACGCCTCCTCCGGCGGGGGTCCCCCCCCAGGCTCTCCGCCTGCTTTCCCTCCGGCGTCTTGGGAGGGGTATCGCCCCACGCCGGCCACAGCGGCGGTGGCGGGGGGCCTTGAGGTGGGGTCTGCTGATGCCGCACCTCCGGCACTGGCGCCAGTCGCGAGGGGCCGCGCCGCGGAGGAAGAGGAGGAGGTCGTCACGGAGATGGTCGCAGGCTTGCGCACAGTGGCGGACACCATCGAGCAAGTGGGCTTGCCGCTCGCCACCGCGGTGGAGAAGGTGCTCCAGGTGGTCAAGGCGGCGTCGGCGCGGGCGCAGGCCGCCCAGCCAGGCAAGCCCTCGCCCAGTGCGGCTGCGCCCACGTCGCCGCCGCCGCCGTCGCCACACTTCGGCCCGAGGGACGAGAAGGCGTTCTCTACGGCTGTGGACGCCTTTCGGTTCAAGCTGGTGGGCCTGGGCGATGCAAGGGGTTGCTCGCCGGGGGTTGCGCCGCAGCTTCAGGTGGACTTCGAGCGCCCGGCCGGCAACCCCTTGGAGGTAGCCAAACGCGTCCAGGCGTTCCATGGCGGTGCCGGCCCGGCCGTGGACGTGCAATTGCTCGCAGAGGAAGCCGGCAGGGTCTGGAAGAAGCCGCCGTCGGGTGTATGGTATGCTGAGAGGGGGGGAGACGGCGAGCGCAAGATCGTGCACAAGCTGCGGATCCCAGCGCGGTCAACCTACGGGCGGCAATCCACGGCGTCCGTGCAATACGACCCAGCCGCGCGCACGGTGGTCGCGCTTGGCATCAAGCAGAACTTCATCGACTACTTGGTCCAATGGGTCGGGACTTCCGGGCCGGTCACCGAGGTCACGACAGGCCCCCAGACGGTCGCCACGCCGTCGGTGCTCCAGTACCTCCAGCCGGCCGCCAAGTGAGCGGGGCCCTCCCCCCCTTCCAAACTACGCCGCGCTTCTTTGCCCCCCCCCGCCGGCTCTCCTCCCCACCCCCTGCGCGGCGGCGCCATGACGTGGTCGCCGCTCGGTGCGCCACTGTCGACTTGCATGGTTTACTTGGGACGTCCAAATACGCTCCTCCTCTCCCCCTCCCCTTCCTCCTCCGCCTCCTCCCCCCGCCCCCCCCTCTCTCCCCCCCCTCCTCCCCCTCCCCTCCTCGCTGAGGGGGCTGGGGCGTGCGCGGGGGTGTCACCCTGAGGCGTAACGGTCTGGACGCCCGACGCCGCTGTGGTCGTCGTCGTTGCCGCCGCCGCCACCGCCGCCGCCGCCGCCTCGTCGTCGTCGTCGTCGTCGTCGTCGTCGTCGTCGCCGCGGCGTCGCCCCTTCCAGTCGGGCCGAAGAGGGTGGACGCCGGCGTGTCGCCCGATTTGGGGATGCCAGCCCGTCGATTCTCTCCAGGGCTGAGTCGATGGACGCTCGCATTTCGCCGTTTTACGCGGCGCGATTCCCCTCCCCTCCGTCCTCCCCTCCCTGCCCCCCCCCTCTCTTTCCCTGCCCTCCCCCCCCCTCCTCGCTGAGGGGGCTGGGGCGTGCGCGGGGGTGTCACCCTAAGGCGTAACGGTCTGGACGCCCGACTTTCCCTATTGCTGCACCTCCGCTCTGCCAGGTCTTGACCGCGAGCCCCCTCAAGGTCAGTTCGTTCGCCTGGCCAGCAGGAGTCGCAAACTGTGCGGTCGGCGTGCCGACGCTTAATTGGGGTTGATTCTAAAGGGCCCGCGTGATCCGGAAACGCTTTTCCGGAGCACACGGCATTGATACCTGCCCTGGCTTGACGGCCACCGCTATGGAGGTGACAAGGGGGACCTGCCCGACGGAGCTGGCCGCCAAGCGCCGGAAAGCCAATCCAGCACTGGCTTGATGGCCATGGGGCCTCCCAGAAGGCCTCGAGAGAACCCCCCCTTAAGGATCCTTAGGGGGGGGGGGGGAACCGCTTTTCTGCAAACGGCGGGGTGTGAGCTGGAGCTCGCCACCGCCATGGCTCCCCCCCCTCCCACCTGTACTGCCAATTTTCGGCCCAGCTCTCGCAGCCCTCCCCCTCCCCTCCCGCGCGCATGGCACTGCTCGGCGGGGGCGGCGACCTCGGCAATGCCGGCGCTCCTGCATCTGCTACGCTGGCGGGCTGGGCATCTAGGGCCGAGGCGGTTTGCGCGGGCGCCGAACTCAAGGAGCTGGTCGAGAAGGAGCTGCCCGGTGCTGCAGGTCGCGCGGGTGCTTGGCGCGCGCTGTGCTGCCGTCGCGACGCGCGCGCGTTACTGGAGGCACAGCCGCCGCATGGCTTGACTGGCGTACCAGAGGAACTGGAGGCTTTCCGCGAGTTCGACGCAGCCGTGAGGTCCGCGTGCCGGAGAATCGAGACACGCATGGCCCGCGCGGCGCAGGGCATCCCCATCAATTCTATTTACGGAGCGCGGGAGGGGGGGCTGCCAGCTGTCGAGCTCCCTTCTCCTTCAGTTGAGGCGCGCGCCGTTACACTGGTACTATCGGCCTTCAACGTCCAGGGCGGCCTAGGTACATTTCGTGGTGGGGGCGCGCATGAGGGACGGGCCCACGCCTGAGTTGTGGAGCTTCACCGCAGCGGCACGGTCATCGCGGTAGTGTCGGAGCCACGATTGGCTCCTGGCGGGCTGTGGCCAAGCTGGGCGGGGTACGCCTACCATGGTGAACGGAGCGCGCTACCGGACACGGTCGCGCTCCTTGTGTTCAACGAAGCTGCACGGACGGCGGAGGTCTTGGAGGACGTTGGGGATGCGCGGTCTATCTGGGCGGCCGTCCCGCTCCAGGGCGATGGCTGTGGTGGTTTATTGTTGCTGGGCGTGCATGGCCCCCCGCCAGGGCACGGCGCCGGGGTCCGCCGGGCGTTCTGGTTGGCCCGGTTGCAGGAGTGGCGGCTCCTACAGCACCGCCCGCGTTTCCGCGGTTGGGCCCTCGTCTTGGCTGGCGACTTCAATCTGCATTTCTCCGCTCTTGGGGGCATAAATGCGAGCCTCGAGGAACGGCTCGATCGTGAAGTGTGGGGGCGGTCGCAGGACGGGAACGCCTTTGGTGTTGTTGTCCGCAACCCCGTCGGGGTAGCGACGCACAATTCAGGGTCTGTGATCGACGTCGTTGCGGCCTCTGCTGGTTTGGCGGCCATTGCGGCGGTGGTGCCAGCAGTCGAGGCCGGTGTGACCAGCGACCACTGCAGGCTCGACCTCTCCGTGGGTGCTACTGTTGGCTGCGTTGGGACGCAAACTCTGGGGCTGGCAAGGTGGGCGCGCGACGCTGACTGGGGCGAGGCCCTGCTACTGTTGCCCGTATCGCTCCGCTTTCTCACTGGTTGGGCGGG